AAGGAACTAAATATGATTTCTTTTCGTAAAATACGGGATAAAGTTTGGAAAATTCAGTTTTTGCATGAGATTGCTTTAAAATTGTGTTACAAAATCAATAAACACGCTTTTCCAGTGAAAAGTGAGCGAAATAGATATTTGTAGAAAAACTTTCGGCACGGCCAAGGCCACGAAATAATATGTACATAATAAACTTCTTTGAACTAGTATATGTATAAATTTGTTTTGATTACATTGCTTAAGTTATATCGATTTAAATGTTATTGCTGATATTTAGTCATTGTCGTCTCGGCTATAAGAATTTTATAATTTACATAAATGAGAGGAACTGTAATTCCTTGGAACTGATTTAAAATACCTACGTCAAATGCTAAACTTTTGGGCACATTGAAGATTCAAGTTTCTCTGTTTTTGAGAAATTTAATCAAATTTATTTATTCGTTGCCTTGCATGAACAAAAAACAGAGCGCAGACACGTTTTGAACTTATTAAAGGCAACATTTTGTTATGTTAAAGACTTTATTCAGTTGCCTGGGCAATGGTTACGTATGCGTAACTTATACTTTATGAACGTATCGCTTTATAAATATATTCCCCTCTTATTTGTTCAATGCTACTGCGCTGTGCTGCACTTGGACCCCCCGATGGGGCTTTGGCTCGTCGCGGCCCCGCCTCTTGCTCCACACACGCGAATACAAAAATATATGTTTTATTGACATATGATATGCCGCTATCGACAATTTTGCAGTCGCCGTTTCCCTAATACGACCGGTTATCGAGATTGTATTTTATTTTATTTTTATAAAATACCCTTTCCCATCGGTGTTATGAACTGTTCATAAAATTGTACATTTTCTTTTATTAGAATATAACTAGATCAATCGCATTCAAGTAATGCGGGACGTTAAATCAATTGGATTTTGAGTCAACAAATACTTCAGTTTATTTTATAATACAATTTTAACATATTGAGCAGCTGCGCAATAACATTTGCTGTATTATGTATACAGTTATGTACACATATGTTATGTTAAAAGCTTAACATTTTACTGTTACGTTACATACTTCCACAGTTTGTTTATGTTTGTTTGCCTCTCCAATCGAGAGTATATTGTATTCGTTGGATCTCTGAGATTATATTTTGTTTTCCATTTTATTGGCTTCGTTTTATCGGCAATGTGCTGTGTCTCATGCTTCCCCTCTCTATTTTTGGCAACTTTGTTTCTGCGTTTCGCTCAGCTTTTTTGTTGTTTTATTTATATTTTTATTGCAGGTAAACAACAAAAAGCGGCACAATTTTTTATTTTGTGGGTTTTTAAGTCGCACGCTTGGCTCGTTCTTTGCACACATATTTTATAGGTCGAATGCTAAAAGCGGTTTTATCAAAGAATATGGCAAAAGTATGGTTACAAATACAATAATAAATACACATGTATTATATTAGTATGCACATTTAATTATAATTTGCAGCAGTATTTTGCTTGTGTTAATTATACATTGGCCCACTACCTTGGCTGTGCTTGTTGTGTGTGTGGCTTTTGTTTTCATTCACTTAATTTGACCAAAATATGAATTTACATAATTTTCATGTTCGACGTTTTCATGGAAACAGCAACAATCAAAATATTTGAACAAGTTTTCCCAAAACTAGTTCACATTGTGTACTTATCTTAATGATTTCTGGCAATTCGATTGATAAGCCCCAGCTAGTCAGCAGAGCCAGCTGTTAAGCAGCTTATCGTATCGACTAAATCTTTCAGGGCAATTGATTCATAAGTCCTAAAACGTTTATTTTTACCTTTTTGTTTGGCCTCTTATCAAGAGTAGGCGAGCTAGCGTGTTGTCTAGGGTACATTTCCGACTAATTTGCAATTCGTAGTAAATATACTAAGTTTCGTTGTTGTGTTATTTAAAATTTAACCATGCCAAAACTCTTGAGTTGCATTTCGCCTACACTTATCGACTGTGTGTTTGTATAAAAGCAGGGCTCCTGTTTCGAAAGCACTTTAGTCGCGTTGCTTTTCTGGTTTAAATTGTTTGCACATTTCCAATTGTTTGAAACAAATTGATTCGTATGTATACACAGCCGTTGTCATTCTATACTCACGCATAAATTATAATATATACATTTAATTCTTTATAATTGTCTGGCGACAGAGCTGCATTGTTATTTATAAACACACGTCAGCTGCGACATTGCCGCTGCTTATCTCAGGTGACGCAGGTGAAGTTCGCATCCAAACAAAACGCGTCGATGGAATAAACAATCGAACAATCAAACAGAGAGAGAGAGAGAGAAGCCGCCGCTTTTTCTCTCTTTTGTTGCGTGGGTGGGTGGTTGCCTTTCTCTCCATATCCCTCTCCTTCGCACTCTCTCGCAATCTCATTATCCAATCCAGGGAATATACATGCATATATTATAATTTGCATGGGCGTCTCGTTCAAGGTCACAGGTGCTTGCAGCCATTTTGCTAGAAATTGTACCAAATTTATGTACAGCGAAAACAAATAAATACGCAGCTTTTGTTGTGTTATCAACAATTTCCACCCAGTTGGCATTTGCATTGTGCTGCTGCGGCAGCAGCCTTGAACTACTAACCATTTGGCTTAATGGCAGCCTGGTTAACCCAACAAAATATCATGAAACTCGTTGAAAAACCTGCACAATCTTTTGGGCTACCTAAGCCGCGGTGTTGTTCGGCTATGTCAATTCGTTAGTGAGCCGCACATCCGATAGGTTTTGGGCCTGCAACAGGTAACACAGGCCACGGGCTTGACCTGTTTTTGGGCTGTTGTTCCTTTTGCTATGGATGGGAGCGTGTCTGGAATGTTGTGAGTTGTGGAAATCGTTACTTTCAATATCAAAATCGATAGATTCTTTTTGCGAGTTTAATTAAAGTCGTTTCCCCTCTCAGCATAGGGATGTGAGTGTGTCTGGCAATGAAAGTGCAAACACGGAAGTCATAACATTCCTTAGAATTATTATCATCCAGATATTTTAATCGATAGACTAGACTTTAAAATGAAAAAGAAGAAAAAAGCAGAGTTCCTCTTGTTCCTCTTGTTAGAGTCCTTTCTGAATGGAGATGAAAACGTGCCTAGAAAATGAAACTGGAAGCTCGGTAATCTTAACTTGCTGGTAATATAATTGTCTAGAAATTAAAATCAATAGACTAAACTTTAAAATTCTTCTTTCCGAGAACGAGAAAAAGAAAAGAAAAGATATGGTGATATGTTTTTTCGATTTAAGTACTTTGCTCTAGTACTCTGAAGCTTTAGTTTTAAAAAGAAATCTTGTTAAGCATCACAATTTTATTCAATTTTCACTCACGAAGATTAACTTCAAAATTCTTTAAGAAATGTTTATATGTCAGGTATCAAATGCTTTCCCTTAAATCTTGGACCGTGACACGGTCAGCTCTCATCTCTAGAGCCTGCCGAATTTCATTGTGTCTTTTTGTTTTCTTGTATAAGTGTATTTTGATTTTTATCTAATTTTAGTTGCTGCGGCGGGCTGCTCTCTTTTTGAGCCTGGTCAGACTGGTTTGGCCTGTTTGGCCATTTCTCGGGCCATTCATGTTTGCTACGTTCGCTGCGTTCGCGTTGTCCCTTTTTTCTAGAGAACTACGAAAATTAGCGTATCGACCACAAAAGCAAACAAATGTCTCGCCATGAGCTGCTTTTGTTGGGGTCTTTGGTTTACCGGCGGCTTGTTGTTGTCGTTCTTGTTGTTTGGGTTCTTGTTGTTTTTGTTTGTTGTTCTCGTCTACTGTTTGTTTCTCTGCCGATCACGTTTTGGTGTCCCCCACACGACGAAACGGGAATGATCTTATAATCGCAAATGATCATCTTCTAAATGCCTTCTAAAACTTGTATTTGCAATGCGCAATTAATTTTTACACCTGTCCAACTGTCCGGGAGTCCATCTGGCAACCATTTCTTTGGGGTGCGTCGGATATTTGCTTGCTTTCTGGTCGAGTTATGTTTATTTACTTATTTTCTCACTGCCGTGCGAGTTTCTGTTGCTTTGTTTGCGTTTTGCCAATACGTTATGGTAATTAAAGTTGTGTTTTGTTAGCACATGGCTCTATCGCATCCCTCCACTCGAAGCCACCCATACAATAAACCACACACCAGGCTCAAGCGCACACACAATGGCGCCTCTTGTGGCGCGTTCTATTCTAGCTGGACAACAAGTTCATCAGCATTGTTTGCATATACGTTTTATGTTTATGTATATTATATATGTTTTCTTACATATTTACATTTACCTTTAGATCCCGCCTGCTGGGGCAGGGGTTGTTAGATAAGCTGCAACGTTGCATATTCAATGCGTGACATTTAAAACTTAAAAAATACCCAATTTAAAAAGCTTTTAACTTACGATGTAACAAAGTTTTGAAACTGACATTTTCACTTCAAACTTATTTTATAAATAAAGATAAGTATAAAGAATAAAGGGGTTAAAGATAATTCAAGCATATATAACTTAATTTCTTTCATTTTGAAATTTCTGTGAAATTTAATGCATAAACTCAGAGATTGTCTTCGGTTTAGCCAAATGCTTGACAATTAAATTCATTTCCATTTGTGTAAGTCGCATGTGGTCCACAAGCTAGAGCTTTATTTCGTCATTTTGGCTTTGTGTAGAAAATTTGAATAAGGGACTCGCATTTGTAACCTACACACTCACACAAACATCGATACAGACACACACACATCCATATGTACATATAATATTCCCCTCATATAATCCTTGCCACTTATATGCTTATGTATATATATTTTTTTTATAGTTTTTCTATCCATAAGCATTCATATCTAACATTCCGTTTGTGCGTGTGCATTTTATGGACGAATCCAACTTCCAATTTGCTTGTGGAAGTCAGCAGCTGGACCTTGGCCAGGTCATCGGCGCCGTCACCACCAAGCAGCCAGAGAGCCAAGCAAAAATGCATTAAAAATACAAAAAAAAAAGAAAAACAATAAGAAACCAAACTGCATGAAAATTAAACCAAAATAAGACAATTGAAATTAATAAAACAAAGACAGAATCATAATATCCAAATACTCTGGGCCAAAAAGCACACATTGTCAGCAGTTTCCCTGTCATTGCATCCTGGTTGTAGCACATGCAACAGCTGCATCGCTCACGCTAACATCCCATACACATTCATCCAAGCCAATAAACCATATGAGCAGCATGAGTCTGTGGAAGCGCATCTCGAGCCATGCCGACTGCGAGCAGCGCATGGCGGCTTACTACAATAAGAAGGGTCTGTACGACCTGCGCCTATGCTTGGCGCCCTGGATCGAAGACAGAATAATGTGAGTAGTTGTCCCGAGTCTCCACAGAGTGGCCATTATTTGCTTGATCAGTGGGTAAAGCTAAGGTACTTAAACTAAGACACAATGTTAGGTATGGGCTCTATTTACAAACAAGGCTTTCAAATTTCTATATCCTAACCAACGGTTCGCTTCAAGAATCGCTTAGTGCTAAAATATTTCAAGTTATTGAACGTTCTAGAGCGCTCCTCGACGATAAGTGAGATGCTATTTTCTTTTTTACTTTTAAATGTTAAGCAAATGACGAAGTTGGGTGTAAGTGCCTCAGATCAGTTCCGCGGTCAGGGTAACAATACAAAATACTGCCAAACCGGCTTAATTGAGCTTCGTTTAAGACCAATTCAAATATTTTCTTCTAATACTCTCACTCTCTCTCTTTCTCTATCTCTCATACACACACAGGTCCGAGCAGATAACGCCAAATTCAACAAATCAATTAGAACGTGTAGCGATCAAGTTTATTGAGGATCTGCAGCAAAAACTTTTATCGACACGTGCCAGCGATCAGGTGCTGAAGTATCGCCTGGTGGAGCTCTGTGCCCTTATCCAACGCACACCGGCACTTGAGCTTTATACGCATTTGCGCAGCGGCCTGCAAAAGGAATTGCAGCTAGCCGCCGAGAAGAGTGTTGCCGTTGCCGCCGCGGGCCAATCGATGCCGCTGAACACCTATAATATGAACAATGCAGTGTCCGCTGCCGCCGCTGTCGTTGGCATGAACGGTGGTTATGTTGATACTAGTGACTTGTTAGGCGTTGCTGGATCATCCCCAGTTGCTGCTGGTATGTCAACCGGCATAATGCATAACATGGGTGAAAATGCAACGGCCGGCCCTATGGCCACACCCAAGGTGGAACTGTACGAAGTACATCATCAGATTATGCACAGCTTGAATGAATTCTCCAGATGCACCGATAGTCTCAAAGTTCTGGTGCAAAGCTATCGATATATGATCAACGCGCCCAATTCACCCGATGCTGAGACACTGTTCAAGCGTTTAATTGAGGAGAAGAGCTCATTGGTTGCCAGGCTGCAACGCAGCTTTTTGTACTATGACTCGCTGCAGGATATGGTCATTGCGGAACTGAAGAATTGGCGACGCCAACAGGCCCTCGCCGGCAATGGGGCACATTTTAGCGAGAATATGCTGGATGATATACAACGTTGCTTTGAGCTGTTGGAATCATTTGTCATTCATCTGCTGTCCGCTGTAAAAGAGACGATTTTCGTGCGGCTTATGAACGATGATCCAGACCTTAATTGTCTGCTAGAGCGGGTTCAGGTGGCACAAAAGAATTTAGTGTGCTCCGCCTTTATTGTGGATAAGCAGCCGCCGCAGGTAATGAAGACAAATACACGCTTTGCGGCTTCAGTGCGTTGGCTACTCGGCTCCCAGCTAGGCATACAAATGAATCCGCCCACAGTCGAGTGTATTATAATGTCAGGTAAGCATCTTGCTAATATACCCATTAATTTTCTCCTCTAATTGTTCTTATTAACTTTGCAGAGTTGCAGGCTCAGCGTTTTGTGACCCGTGGCACACACATGGATGTGACACATAGCAGCCTGGCTGGACAATCGTCGGGCGAGATACAAAACTGCTCCAGCACCATGGAGTATCAGGAGAGCAATCATGTATTCTCCGCCAGCTTTAGAAATATGCAGCTGAAGAAGATCAAGCGCGCCGAGAAGAAGGGTACCGAGAGCGTCATGGATGAGAAGTTTGCATTGTTCTTCTATGCCACAACAACAGTAAATGATTATCAGATTCGCGTCTGGACACTGTCGCTGCCCGTGGTGGTAATTGTCCATGGCAATCAAGAGCCACAATCTTGGGCCACCATTACCTGGGACAATGCATTCGCAGATATTGTTCGTGATCCGTTTGTGGTCACTGATCGTGTCACCTGGCGTCAACTATCTGTTGCACTCAACACCAAATTTGGCTCCTGCACACAGCGCGCCCTGACCTCGGAGAATTTGGAGTTTCTATGTGAGTTCTATGAAAGCAAGCTTATTAACGACAGTGTATTAAATATTTTTTATAATCAGTTGAGAAGCTGCATCGTGACAATATTGTCGGCGAGCGCAATAATGAGCATATTTCCTGGAATCAGTTTTGTAAGGAACCGTTACCGGATCGCACGTTCACCTTCTGGGAATGGTTCTTCGCCATTATGAAACTGACCAAAGACCATTTGCTATCCATGTGGAAAGCAGGTCGCATTACGGGCTTCATCAACAAGGCCAAGGCGCACGATGATCTCTTGCGGGCCGTGACTGGCATCGGCACCTTTTTGTTGCGCTTCTCTGACAGCGAGTTGGGTGCGTAAATACAATTTAGTATGTTGATACCCTTTCTTAATGGCTTCTCTGTTTTTCCTTTTGCTTAGGTGGTGTTACCATTGCCTATGTTAATGAATGTGGCTCGGTGACAATGTTATCACCTTGGACTGCACGCGATTTCCAAATACTCAATCTGGCCGATCGCATTCGCGATCTGGAAATGCTGCGTTGTCTGCATCCGACCGACATCAACGTGCAACCGTTGGATCGCGATCTTGCTTTTGGCGACTTTTATACACAGCGTACTGGTACGGCTCCAAGCCCATAAAATTCGAAACGAATTGTTCTGATTGGAATACCTAAAAAGTTGATTTTGTTTGACAACAATAAGCAGTCGTAAAAGAATGAAGAGTTCATTTCATTTGTCTTGGAATTTATTTGATCAATGTTTTGTTACATCCATTACATATACGTTAATATTATTATAATGCTAATTTTATTGTCAAGCAAGTCAACTTGGGTATCCTTTGTCACACACATACGTTAATATTTAACTTTTTTTATCTGCACAGAACCAACGCCCCGTGTCGATGGATATGTGCCAAGCACGATACGCGTGCAGGTGCGTACCACTGGGGATACAGGCTCCATAAGTGGCACGCCCCATCACCCAATGCAGTCACCGCCGCAGGATAGCATGTCGATGGGAAAGTAAGTTTTGCATGGCTGACCTCTTACCAACACGAGGCGTTTCTAAACGCCACTTCCTAATGTTTGTTTTTTGTATTATTTATTTATTTATTTTCTGTTGCTCCTGTTTACTCAGTTTTGAGTACCCCAAGACCCAAAGAAAAACCCGCAGTTCGCATTTGGCTTGCTGGGTTTTAGTTTCCGTGCAGTCTCTACTGTATTTTACATTTTATATATTAAGCTTTATTTGGTTTGAACCCAATTTTAAAGAGTTTAATTAGATTGCAATACTTTGAAATCGAGAGGGATACTAAAAAAAAAAAAAAAACCAAACAAAGCGATACCAAAAACGTTTTAAAAGTTCCATTTTAATAAAAAATATTATTTGTTGGCGTTTATTGTTTATGTTGTTTTGTTGTGTTTTATTTTTCGTTCGGCTTTTTGTTTATTTAGTATATATAATATCAATATCAATAAAAAAAAAAGTAATTGTGCTACGCAGTATTGGTAAAAAAAAAACTGTAACTTACTCTACTCTTTGTTTATTTTCATTTTCTACTTTTATGCGTTTTTAATTTGTTGTGTTGTGGTACCTATCCAGTTATTCTCCACCTAGTGGCATCATGTTTTATAATCCATCGAGCGTCGCAACCACATCCTATAACAGGGATGATTCTGATTCAGATGATAGCTCTGTGGCGCGTGAGCTCGAGAATTATGTCAACAATACAGCACCAGACGATCCCATACTGGGTCAGATAAGTCGCACCATACTGAATGTGTGCGCTAATGGGCATGAAGCACAGTGGATGATGCCCACTAAATCAGCATATGCCGTACCATCGCCCTATAATCAAACGGTCCAATATTAAAACACGAAATCGAATTGAGAGCTAGTTTGGGTTGTGCCTCTTACCGAAAGGTATTGTTTGATACCTACATATCTATCTATATATTTATGTACCAATCGCAATCGCATCAATATCACCAAACAAAACAAAAAAAAAACTGCTCTATGTCCACAGTTCGCAATAGACAACATCAAAATATGTCGCTAATTTGTCTGTTGAAGGGCCAAGGTTTTAACAGCGCGTCCATTTCGTCTGCCCAACAACAAAAAAAAAATACATCATTGCACCGCCCTCCCGAGCCTCTGCATAACATAAACTCACGCCACTCGCCACTTGCCACTTGCAACACTTGTCACATTCATTTGATATGCCCACTGTCGCTGCCCATTGTACTAACTTCTCAACCTTATCAGGTCGCTCGCTCAGTTTCAATTTTAAGATCCTCACATTTATATATATTTAAATATATATAATTCTTATTCGTTGTATTATCCTAAATGTTCTCACTTCAAAGTATTGCCATCTTTTTAAGCTTTTCAGCTGCCGCAAATGTGATATGCTTATACAGATACATTGTATATGTATATGTATACATTGATATTGATATCTAATGAAATTCTATATTCTAACTTTTGATATAATCGCAGCTTGCAGAATAGCACCATCATGCATTTGTAAACGCCAATGAACAACACAAGAACAATGAATACAATTATATATATTAGGAAAAAGTGGCTTTTAATAAGCAACACTTTTGGGTCTTTATTGGAATTAAACAAATAGCAGTTTATTGCATGCACTTTTCCTTTCATATGAAACTCTTTATGTTTATTCGTAATTGTTGTTAGCGTCATGAATTAAATTTGATGTTATTGTTGTTGTTAATATTAAATTGGCGCGCATATTGAATGCGTTGTTAAGGCTATTTAAATAGAGGAGGGTCACCAACAGACAATTGTTAAAATATAACCATTTGTTTAACATACATTTTGCAAGATATACCTTTTCCTTAAAATACATTATTCATTTGATTCACAACTAACATCATTTGACACATTCTAAATATATTTTAAAAATAGCGACTTGTTTGCATATTGTTTTATTTTGTTTATTAATTTTTGGTTTTTTTTCTACTCTTTTTATATTTTCTTCAATTTTAGTGGTAGTGATTTTCCCATGGCGGACTTTGATACGATGCAGAACTTTGATGTGTATAATAGGCTATAAGCCTATTAAGAGCATACATACATTTTTATATATATATATGCAAATATAAACCTATATATAAATGCGAAAATGTATAATTAAATTACGTAAACAAAGGAATCCTATATACATTGTATGTTTGCAAGAATTTGCCGCTATTAACGACGTCCATTAGATGTTTACTGTAACCAACCAAACTTCCCACACAATTCACAACGAATCGGACACTTCGACATTAACTTATAAAACTGTTTTACCTAAATGTCATTTTACATATTTGGAATGCATCATTGTGGCATGTGTTTTATTTTTGGTATGTATAGACTTAATTTATCAGTTATATTTTTACAGATTTGTTGGCTATCCGGCATATATATTCCATACAGTAAAGAATAGATTTCTGGTTGTGATTTCAAATTGATAGCAGAATTTATCGTTACCTTTGTTATCTTACTATTTAATATATATATATATTTATATATATACACACACTCATACACACGCGGGCACACACACGAAACTATAAATGTTATAACTATATCAACAAGTACAAGATATAATAATTAAATGAAAAATGTTTTAAATATTTTATACAAATTTTATTCGAAAATTTTACTGAATGTTAATCGTCTACTCGAATTTATTGTCAAATGGATTTTAACACACATGCATATACTATGTATGCATTAATAATGGTGGGATACTGTGTTTGGCGCGAACTAAGCTGGTTTCAGAAGGCAACTTTATAAATTAGCCTGCGATAGACTAGAAAAAGATATTGAACTGAGGAACGGATACGAATTTACACAGATACAGTCAGCGATATTTATATGTATGTTTATCTAGTTAGACTTATACAAAACTTATTACAAAACACAAATACAAAAAGAAGAATATTTAAATGTATTTTTATCTAAATGTTTAATGTGGTTAACTGTTCGACTAGTTGTAAGCATCATATTTTGATTTCAGTATTTAAAACTATTTTATTTATTCTTGCAGCATTTGTGAAAACGCCAAAAACGACTCAACAAAACGACAAGAGCAATGCATGCAAATTGCGGCACTTCAACACACTCACACACACACACACACACACACACACACACACAGACACCCACACATATCCAGATCATTAAATTTTAATCATTTTTTTGCTTACAGATTTTGTATTTTGGTTTAAATGTGTATTTGATTTTTGTAAACAAATTGTGGCATGCAACATTTGGAATGTGTGTGTAATACGTGCTTAGACACGACTTTGGCAATTTTGTCAAATGTCTGTATTAAAATGAATTAATCTTAAGTGCTTAAGTTGAGCAGTTACTTGGATTTAGTTAGGTTTTTTTATGTAACTACGGATATTTGTTGAATCTAAATTTGTGAGTTTTATTTTTAATTTTAAATTTATTTTAAGTTATTTAGCTGGGACACAAATGTACTTCAGTTGTGCTCGTTTTAGTTATACATTATGTACGTACGTATATATGTATATATCTATATCTAAATCTATATCTATATATATATATATATATCTGTCTATATATGAATTGCTTTATGTATAAACCCCTTTCATTGGCTTCCTTGTTGCAAACGCAAAGTTTCAATTGATGTAGTATATTTGATATGATTTGAGTTAGGAAAAAAAGTGTGCATTGCATTAAAAATGCGTTAAAAAAAGTAACTACTGCTTCTGTCGTCCACACCAAGGAAACAAAAGCACAAAGGATAAACAAAAGAGAGATGATGATGATGATGTTGATGGGGAGGAGCAGGAGGAGGATGATCAAAATGAAATGATAACTATTTTTTGTGTAAACAACTAAGCTTTTATTGTGAACTATAAGAATTTTATAGTACTTTTAAGTAATCCAACTTAATCAATAAATATATACATACTATATATATATATGTATATATATATATATATACCTATATATATAAAAATGATATGAAAAATGAAGTTAATTACACATTTTTGTGCAGCTGTTAAAGCAAATTCAATTTGAACAACGACAAACTCTTTATGTGTGTGAAGCTTTCAATTTTTAATGTTTAAATATATTCCCACACACACACACACACACAGATACACATACAACTAAATAAATATATACACATATACACACAGAGACACACTGGTATTGGGAAAAATTATTGAAAATGTGCACCTTTATTGCTATGAATGGAGTTTTTTTTTATTAAATGTAAGCAATATATGAGTTGAAAGAACTAAAGAACTATTCTTGTCAAAATGGCCAATAAAGATTTGATTTTAAACATTATTAAAAAGCGTTTTGCTGGGGCACTTTTTTTGTTGAGAGGTTGTTGAGTTTGTTAGTATTTAATAGATATGTTTCGAGAAGGAAAAATAACAAAGGCAAGCTAGTTAAAGTATTATTTTCATGTTTATTAATGTTTTCATTAGTCTGCAGCCGAATATTAATTTACAATCTTGTATAATTTGAGTTCAATCAATTCTTGTTGGCACAGCACTTGTCCTTGGGTCCATTCTTGCAGGCGCAGTTGCATTGCTGACTGCAGGCGCAGTTGTCGCCGCACTTGGTGGCCGAGCACTGGCAGTCTGTGTGGCAAGTTACCAATTGAATTTATAATGCACAAACTCTAGTATGCGGTCTGTATGTATACTCACTGGTTCCACAAGCTTTGCAACCCATTTTTTGTTTTGTTTATATACTTTTAATATGAACTGTGTGTAGAAGTGTGTTTAGCACGATGTTAACTCGCTGACTTTGACACTGACTCAGCAGCGCTGGGATTTTATAGGGTCTTTTGCACACCATTCGGGGGGTGTAGCTTAACAAATTGTAATCAATTAAACAGTATTAAGCATAAGTATTGGCTGGCTTATCAAGGCGTGCGCAAAATTGCGTAGCCGGCGTGTTGTCAGCGCAATAAGTTTTGCGCACGCTTGACGCACACAGCTGCACACGGCTTTTATATCTTATCAGCTCTCTGCCGATGGCGTATAAAAAGTGATGTTTGAAGAGTTTTCAGCAATAGAAAACAAACAGCAATTGCTGAGCTAAGAAGTTGTTCACGAAAGTTCTAAATAAAAAATAAACTAAAGATGCCTTGCAAAGGATGCGGAAATAGTGAGTGAAGTTTATAAAATAGTTCAATTATTGGATTATATTAATGAGTGAAATCCTGCTTATAGACTGCCAGTGCACTTCCGGCAAATGCGGCGGCAACTGCGCCGGAAACCAGCAATGCCAATGCGCCGGCAAAGCGCCCACCAAGTGCTGCCAGGGCAAATAAATGTGCGAATTAAACTATGCACGCATCGGGCAACATAATGGACCTAAGTACCTCCGGGTGAACTCTACCCCTTACCTAACTACGCACTATAGCTAAATACTGAAATCTCCGACTGATTGTTGTTAAATTAAATTTAATAAATTATATACTTAATATTCAATTTAAATTCCTTATTGTTCAAATAGGTGGTAGTCAAAATAGCAGATTATAATTTTCAGGTGGTTCGGAATTATATTATATTTTTTATCTTGAAAGCCCATAAAGTATATTCATTTCTGGGTCTATTTTCAGAGCAGTTTCAAGTTTGAATACAGACGTAAGCATAAATGTTTGAAAAATATTGTTCAGGCAAAAAAAAATCTTGGGCACGAGCCAGTTCAGCCCAGCCTTTTGATACAATATAAATTGTATTGTTTCATTTTTAATTATTAATTGACTACATTATAGCTAAACATATTGTTTTCTCTTATTGTTATTTAAGTCGATTTCATGTTAAATTTTGTTTTTATATTTATATTTAATTTGCAGCCAAGCAAAACACTTGACAATTAAAATGCCACAATATATGTTTATTTTCAAAACTAAAGTATCATCACTCAATTAAAGGACTCTTAAGCATGTAAACCTGCAACTGCAGCAAGTGTGGTGCACAGTTGAGTGGACTAGCCCGGCTAAGACGCCTGACGAGTCCTTGAACACTTGCATACAACTGCTTAGGGCATGTAAGTACGCCAGTTGCCAGTTGCCAGTTGGGGGGAACTGACTGGCTGACAGATTGTCAGACATTTAGAGGGGGCAAGCATGAAACATGGCTGTATCCAAAAAGTGCATTAAGCGCACTAATTGCAATTGACAATTTCATTACGTTGGCCAGAATGGAGAGTGAACAAGACCTTGTCCCAAAACTGTGCAAAATATTTCAATTTCAGCGTTTTTAATCGCGTTAAAGCGGCGGAAATGAAATCGCGCCTGTAACTTGCTGTTTGCGCAAAGTCATCAAAGTTAATTTGTATGAGAAGGGAAATTCGAACTCAAACGTTTTTACAGCCATTTCCTGAACGGTTGGTAGTCGAAATGCCATTGGCACTCTATTTACTTGCCTCGTTATGACACCCGGATATGTGCCACAAAAAGTTAACACAGTTTGGCAATAGCTAAAGAAACGGGCAACATAAACTCATGTGAGTTTTTAATAAGTAAGCGCAGGGATTATGTTATTTCTAAATCAATTATACATAATAAGTATCATGTTATTATAAATAAACTTACAGCATATTACTAATATGTATTTGTAATTTAGGACAAACGAGGTTTAACAAGGGCCTCAGCGTTGGCACACTGGGCATGAAGCTTAGAGTTCGAGGGAATGAAAATACAGAATACCTTTTTTCTTTTAAATTTAAATAAGAAATAAGAAAAAAAGGGTTTATGTTTAATAAATTTAAACAGGAATTAGTATTTTGTGAAATTAAGAGGAGACAAACCTTCCTAGAAGAGCGAGTTTATTTTTTAGCGAGTCATTTTTTGTCTTTAAAAGTGAAATTAAAATATGGGTTAATTTAAAAAAAAAAATGTACTCATTTTATTTTATTTTTTTATATTTAAAAAAGTTTAGGCAATCAATATGATATGTCCACAATCTTATAACAATTGGATTGCCAACTTTATAAATTTGACCCAGGCGTTGCCGGGTAATTTCTTTCATATATGTAACATTGAAATCAGTGAAAATTGTTGCTTGATTTATATATATTATATTATTACTTTAGTTAACAAGGAATTGAATGAGATATGATGAAGTAGGAGAGGGTTTTAAAGAATTTTTGTGCGAATTTTACCTACTTAAGTCGGGAAAAGTCGGACAGGAGTCGGACTTATAATAAACTTAAATATACGACCTAGAACATATATATGAGAAATGTATATATACAGGTAAACATTAACAAGTTGCAGGGATTGAACTTCTTGACCCCTTAGCTAATAATATATGTTAAAATAATATCGCCTCATTTCAACACACAAGCTTGTGAAGACCTAAGTCTTAAAGTTTCTCTGTCAGAGTATATTCTGCTCGAATAGCGATTCACTTGATCGCTTTGTTTTGTTTTCGGTTGTGCGCAATCAGCGGAAGTTTATGTCACGGCATTTCAGATTTGTGTTGGTAATGTTAAAAAGAAAATGAGAGAAAAGTTTACGGTTAACTTTAACATTTTGGTGTGGTTTGACTTTAAGCGTAAACTTAAATGGCGAGACTGGGTCCAAGAGGTGGCGTGAGATGCAGCCGCAAGTGGGTCATGCGATTGCGAGTGCGATTCGTTGTCGTGGAAGTTGCGGCTTAAGCCACACGCTGCGTATACGCGATATGCGAGCCCTTTAATTTGCTGTCGCGGCCTTTAAGCGCAAATGCAAACAGTTAATTACGGCATTAAGTTTTCATGCCGCAGCCAAAAATGAACGGAGCTGGAGGAAAACGGGTATGGAAAGAAACAACTGCAATGCGGACACTTCGTGAGCGCTTTGTCGCCAGGAACAGGACAAGAGCCGGGACCAGCATGAAGGCCGAAGTCAGAGCAAGCGAGTAAGTCCATGAAAAGAATGAGACGTCGCATCACTTATGCATAAGAACATTTTAACTTTTCGTTAGCCACTTTAGACTTGCGCACGTTTCAGGAACGTGGAGCTGGGGCTAGGAGTTGCCAGGAGTGGGTATTTGAGTGGTTGGGTGGTTGGGTGAGATTGTTTATCTTTTTCGTGTGACTTTTGCCTTTTGGCTGGCTCAAGTTTTTTCTATTGTTGCAGCCAAGTGTTGAGATCAAATAACACTGAAAAACAAACACACACACAAACACACACACACACACACACATATATATATACGATAAGTTTACAAACATAAATTAATGAAATGCACAAAAATTGTAAACGTTTTATAGCACTGTCTCTATGTCTTTCGGCCCATCTGTCCATCTCTATCTGTCTGCAGTCTTTGAATATTCTTAATAATTTATTGCATTTTGTTTGCTAAGCGCTTCAAAACTTGCTGAACTTTTTAACATAAATTAACAGATTAGCTGTTGCCTGTCACGCTGAAGCAACAACAAAATATGTTTTCAACTTTAAGCAGGTGGCCTTGGCAAAAAATACACATAGTTACTTTTGTGTCTGCCACAACAGCTGCTAATTTCCACTGCTCAGTTGGCAAAATGAGAGAAAATTCCGCTGAAATGTTGCCAAAAAACTTTTCCAAACAGCACGCACTGTAAACGCTGTGGGACCCACTCGCTTTTGGCCAACATAAATCTTGGCCATTTTGGCAAATTTGTAAATCTCTTTGGTATCCCTTTACAGACCCATGCAGCATTGGGACTGGCACTTTGCATGAGTCGACGATGTGACTTGTAAAATTGCAAACATTTTGCATTAAATATTTATTTTTAATTTGCAGTTCGTTGCTGTTAATAGAAGAATTATTAAAGTTTTTCCCCGTTCAGCTTTAAGTGCGGAACTATTATCGAGATATTTTGTTTCTCTGATTTTCGATTTCAGCGCTCCCAAATGAGTAATCAGAGCAATGCTTACGCTGGTGATTTAACATTTAACAGAAACTCATTTCGTTTTCGATTTGTCGCTGATTTCCCAAAACACTTTCCTACCATGACACACACACGCACACACATACAAATTTGCTAGGATGTAAGGATGTGTCTGATGACTGCGTGAATGTCTTTGGCTTTGGCAAACACATTAAGCGGCACATCCTGGGCGCGTCCACTAGCGACTAGCGGACCGGATGTCCTGCCTAGCCCAGTATTGACTGGTCGCAGACTGACTAACTTTGTTGACAGCAATTTGTGATGCACGACTGCACTGTTTGGCGTTGACCAAGGCGAGTCCAGCCCATCAGGACATAATGACTGCAGCTGCATTGTCCCGCAATCAATATGAAAAATACATTTAAAAGAGAGAGTCGATTTGCCAATGATTCAGCTTTAAATAGGATTATTTGCATTTAGCCTGCTAGCATGGCCGAAACAAGCCATAAAGCTACAGAATTAGTTTTATGTAGAACTTAAGCCTATTGGTCGAGCATGTAGGGCTGGGTTAATTTTTTTGAAAGCATTATAATTTGTGAGGCTTTAAATTAAATCAATAATGAAGGCAAGCTAGTTAAAGTATTATTTTCATGTTTATTAATGTTCTCATTAGTCTGCAGCCGAATATTAATTTACAATCTTGTATAATTTGAGTTCAATCAATTCTTGTTGGCACAGCACTTGTCCTTGGGTCCATTCTTGCAGGCGCAGTTGCATTGCTGACTGCAGGCGCAGTTGTCGCCGCACTTGGTGGCCGAGCACTGGCAGTCTGTGTGGCAAGTTACCAATTGAATTTATAATGCACAAACTCTAGTATGCGGTCTGTATGTATACTCACTGGTTCCACAAGCTTTGCAACCCATTTTTTGTTTTGTTTATATACTTTTAATATGAACTGTGTGTAGAAGTGTGTTTAGCACGATGTTAACTCGCTGACTTTGACACTGACTCAGCAGCGCTGGGATTTTATAGGGTCTTTTGCACACCATTCGGGGGGTGTAGCTTAACAAATTGTAATCAATTAAACAGTATTAAGCATAAGTATTGGCTGGCTTATCAAGGCGTGCGCAAAATTGCGTAGCCGGCGTGTTGTCAGCGCAATAAGTTTTGCGCACGCTTGACGCACACAGCTGCACACGGCTTTTATATCTTATCAGCTCTCTGCCGATGGCGTATAAAAAGTGATGTTTGAAGAGTTTTCAGCAATAGAAAACAAACAGCAATTGCTGAGCTAAGAAGTTGTTCACGAAAGTTCTAAATAAAAAATAAACTAAAGATGCCTTGCAAAGGATGCGGAAATAGTGAGTGAAGTTTATAAAATAGTTCAATTATTGGATTATATTAATGAGTGAAATCCTGCTTATAGACTGCCAGTGCACTTCCGGCAAATGCGGCGGCAACTGCGCCGGAAACCAGCAATGCCAATGCGCCGGCAAAGCGCCCACCAAGTGCTGCCAGGGCAAATAAATGTGCGAATTAAACTATGCACGCATCGGGCAACATAATGGACCTAAGTACCTCCGGGTGAACTCTACCCCTTACCTAACTACGCACTATAGCTAAATACTGAAATCTCCGACTGATTGTTGTTAAATTAAATTTAATAAATTATATACTTAATATTCAATTTAAATTCCTTATTGTTCAAAAAGTTGGTAGTCACAATTGAGCAGATTACAAATTTCAGATGGTTCGGAATTATATTATATTTCTTATCTTGAAAGCCCATAAAGTATATTCATTTCTGGGTCTATTTTCAGAGCAGTTTCAAGTTTGAATACAGACGTAAGCATAAATGTTTGAAAAATATTGTTCAGGCAAAAAAAAATCTTGGGCACGAGCCAGTTCAGCCCAGCCTTTTGATACAATATAAATTGTATTGTTTCATTTTTAATTATTAATTGACTACATTATAGCTAAACATATTGTTTTCTCTTATTGTTATTTAAGTCGATTTCATGTTAAATTTTGTTTTTATATTTATATTTAATTTGCAGCCAAGCAAAACACTTGACAATTAAAATGCCACAATATATGTTTATTTTCAAAACTAAAGTATCATCACTCAATTAAAGGACTCTTAAGCATGTAAGCCTGCAACTGCAGCAAGTGTGGCGCACAGTTGAGTGGCCTAGCCCGGCTAAGACGCCTGACGAGTCCTTGAACACTTGCATACAACTGCTTAGGGCATGTAAGTGCGCCAGTTGCCATAATGACTGCAGCTGCATTGTCCAGCAATCCATATGAAAATTACATTTAAAAGAAAGAGTCGATTTGCCAATGATTCAGCTTTAAATAGGATTATTTGCATTCAGCCTGCTAAGCATGGCCGAAACAAGCCATAAAGCTACAGAATTAGTTTAATTTAGAATTTTAGCCTATTGGTCGAGCATGTAGGGCTGGGTTAATTTTTTTGAAAGCATAATAATTGCTGAGGCTTTAAGTTAATTCAACTATTTTCAAATGCTAAAATTAAGCTGAGCTTTTAACCAAAAAATCGAAATAATGCTGTAAGCTTTAAGCTGAAGATAACCCTTAAGCTGTTGCATAATAAATCTTTTAATTAAATTATTAGAAACTTCATCTCATGTCTGTCTATCAAACTATCTCCTTTAGAGCTCCGTCGTCTTCTAGTTAGTCATTAGCCTTGCGTTACAAACCTAATGGTGTGACATGTTCAAAGTAAGCTTACTTCTACTGCCTACATGCTTGTGTGTATGTGTGTGTGTTCAATTTGTTATGTTGTTAATTAAGCGAACCGTGCAAACAGCTGATGCCATCCTGCCAGTTGTCCTGTGCACGCTCTCAGCTGTCAGCTACCAGATTCCAGCTGCAAGCGGCAATTGTGCAATGTCTTGTCACGCGTTCTGTATGCAGCTGCGTTGTTCTACAGGGTACAGCGTACCCTGGGGCAAAGCTCTGCTCGGCTCATTAGCTAACTGCACACGTGCACAAATCAATTTTGCCACGTCCAATCCGACTCGCACGCTCCACTTGAGTGCTTCGGTGCTTTAGTGCCGCCCTAGTCCCTAATCCCAGCAAGTGCAGCAAAAACAATCATACGACGCGTTGTCCAAAAGCAATCAAAGTGAATGGCTTAACTGCAAAAATCACACACTACTTTCGATATGCCCGCGCTTAGGGCGTACGGCGGCCACAAAGCATAAGAGCAGCGATTGGTTGTTTTAATAAGCAATGGTGCAATGGAGATGATGCCATAAGTATGCAAGTGCCAGTGCCAATGCCGTTCGTGCCCAGCAATGCGCTCGCCACAGTATAATGCAGTTCCAGCTACCTTCTGATGTGTATCTATTGCAGTGCCTTTGCTTGCCAAGTGCAGCATCGTACTGATAAGTGCATCTACATGATGCTCAAATTATATGGTTTCACTTGCCAGCGCGGCAAACGAGCCCCATCAGCATTACACATATACATAAGCCCCACATAAGCACAGGAGCGGAACAGACCGCATGGGCCCAATCCATTTGATTGGTCCATTAGAAAAATATTGAATCCAAAATTTTAAGAATGCTCGTTTAGAAACGAACTCCTTAAACCAAGAAAATTAATAACCAAGGCTAAAAAGGGAAACGCTTCTAAAATTTGAAATATATTTGATCTGAGTATTCGTTGCGAATATCTGAATACTAAATGTATGGCTTCGCGATCTTGATCTCAGATTATATTTTTAGAAGAATTTATATTCCACACCTGCTTCGTATTGTCTCTGATATCGATGAAATTAAATAGATATACAGAGAGAAGTATATTTATACTACATGTGTTTCTATTTTCTGTTAGATTCATTTGAACCCATTTATAACAATCCGATTTCTACCTCTTTACAAGGGTAGCAGAGGGAGTCTTGACCAACTCTATAAAATGCAGTCATGTTTAAACTGAAGCTCTTCGCATTTGTTAAATACTATTTATTTCAGTTAGTTAGTCGGTCTGATAAAAAAATGATATTAAATCACGTTTATCTCTCAGATCTGCATAGGCGATGGCCGTGAGTCCAACTTTGGCGTTGGCTGGTACCGCTTCGTATTGGCCAGGTCGCTTTTGATAGGCCACGAAATTCGTGTAACTGTGACGCTGGAAACTGTAGTTGTCACCCATGCTGGAGAAGAGCGTTTGGTGATCAAGATCAAGAGGTGCTTGCTTGATGCTAGGTTGCAGCGCTGCCTGCTCCTCGCGTAGATGATGTAACAGGTCAATAGACACTTGCGGCAGCAAGGCTGATCTCTTGCTCATTTCCTGCTCACTGCTGTTGTTGGCCTGATTCGTGCTAGCATTTGATTGGTAAATATAGCAATGAATATTAACGCCATAAGGCACCCTAATTTGCAGTCGATCTTTGAAGATCGACCTTTTGCTATTGCTGAAGTCAGATATACGCCTCTCGCTTTTGAAGCAACCAAGGTTCCAGGGTCCAGCCTTGTGGCAAAAATATTGTTTGTTACGTAGGTTGTGTGGATTAGCGGCCACAGCCAGTTCTACGGACTTGGCGGATGTGAAGATTATTAGTGCGTAATTGTAGTTCTCGGTGCGTTGCAGTACATAGACGCGATGCAAACTGCCGAAGGCGCAGAAATGCTCGAAGACCTGGTGGTGGACAATCTCTGAACACAAATCACGTATGTATAGAAGAAATTTAGACTGCAAATCCGACGCCGATACAGACTGCATTGGTGGGCGATATGGACGTCTCGGAGTTTGATGACCCGGTAGTTCGGGTCCTTAATTTAGTTTTTTATTTATTCAGAGAGAGGAAGATATATTACTTACCCGTCTTAATTTCGGGCTGTTGAGTACCAGTCAAGTCGATTAGTTCGCACTTTTCCTTTCGATTGTCCTCGTTTTGAAAGCTTCTAGGCTCATATGGCGACGTCGGGGCGAATTGCGATGGTCTGCGATATGGACGTCTTGGGGGTTGAAGTTCGGTCAATTGAGGTCTTGGACTGATCGAAGTCCCCGACTGAACTCCTACAGATTGAAGCGGTTGGGGTACTGCAATATTTTTATTGAACAGTATTCAGGCAAAGGTAGGACAATAACTCACCAGCTATATTTTCCGAATGGTGAACAGTGGAAAAGTCTAAGGAACCACGTTTTTGCTGTCGGTTGATATCGATTTGAGAAACTTGATCTTCATACGGCGGCGTCGGCGTGTACTGCGAAGGCCGGCGACATGGGCGACTTGGTGTTTGAAGTCCGGGCATTTGAGAACCTAAGGGTTGAAGCCCTTGCGGTTGGGTTGCTGGAATTCTATTAGTGAAATTTATTATGGCTAAGGTGAAACCGGTACTCACCGGGTATATTTCCCGGATGATTAATATTGGAATAGTTAATCGACTCGCACCTTTGGTTTCGGCTTTCATTGTTTTGTGGGCTTTGATCCTCAAGCTGTGATGTTGTCAAATACAGCGATGATCTGCGATATGGACCACTTGGAGTTTGAAGTAATGGCGCTTGAGCTCCTAGAGATTGTAGACTTGGTGGTTGCGGTGGTCCTGCATATTCCTATTTGACTTATTCTGTGAAAGATTGAACAAGTACTCACCGGCAATAGTTTCCGGATGAGGAACCTTGGTAACGTCTTTGGATTCACGCCATTGCTGCCGGCTAATATCGTTTTGAGTGTTTTGATCCACATTCATCGGCATCGGCGTATATTGTGAAAGTCTGCGACATGGGCGACCTGGTGTTTGTGCTCCTGGCATTTGAGCTCCTATTGGTTGAGGCCCTTCCGATTCTGTTCCTGGAATCCACATAATAGGAATTTATTCTCGCAAAGGTGACGCAAGTACTCACCGGCAATATTTCCCGGATGACTAACAGTAGAATTGTCAATGGCTTTGCGGCTTTGGTTTCGGCTTTCATTGTTTTGAAGGTGTTGGTCCCCAATGTGTGACGTTGGTAGATACAGTGATGGTCTGCGATATGGACGACTTAGGGGTTGAAGTACTGGCGTTTGAACTCCTAGAAGCTGAAGCCCTGGTGGCTGGGTTCCTGCAGTGCTCTTGTTTTTGCTTATTCTGATAAATGAAAAAATAGGACTCACCGGCAGTATTTTCTGAATGATGAATATTGGAAACGTCTATGGATTCGCGCCTTTGCTTTCGGTTGTCATTGTTTTCAAAGCTTTCGTTCTCGTATAACGAAGTCGGAGTATACTGCGATGTTCTGCGAATTGGGTTCACTGTGGGTTGAAGTCCATGCGATGGAAGTTTTGACGTTTGATTTATTCCTATATATTTAAGCAGTCGCTGTTGTTATTTAATCTGGCAAACACAGAACAAGTACTGACCGGCATTCATTCCCGGCTGATGATCAGCTGACAAGTCTATGGATTCGCGGCTTTGGCTTCGGCTGTAATCGTTTTGAAGTTTTGGAGTATTGTACAGCGTCCTCGGCGTATACTGTCTGCGATTTGGGAGATTCCGAGCTCCTAGAGATTGAAGATCTAGCGTTTACTCGGATTAAGGTCAAAACAGGTTCTTACCGGTTTTATTACACGGCTGCTGAGCAGGTGAAACGTCTATGGTTTCACGCCTCTTCTTTAGGATATCATCTTTTTGGTCGTGCAACGACATCGACGTCGACTGCGATGATCTGCGACATAAACGTTTGGGTGTTTGAACTTCCGGTGATTTAGCTGCTGTCGTCTGAGGCAGTAGTGTTTGAGATACTGAAAACTTCCTGTTGTTACTTATTCATACATTGCCAGATATGTGTACTTACCTGCCTTATTCCTCGGCTGCTGGGCTGTTGAGATATCTATTGTTTCACGCCTTATTGTTTGGTTATCGTTCTTCTGAATGATCTTACTGTCGTGTAAAGACGACGTCAATTGCGATGATTTGTGATATGCCCAATTTGGCGTTTGAACTTTTGGTGGATAAACTTTTGGCGATTGATGCCCTGGTGGTTGAGGTCCTAAAGATTCCGGTTGGTACTTAGTCGGGCAAGGAGAGATAGATGAATTTCCAGCTAAATCCCGCAACTGCTGGACAGTCGACACGTCTATTGTTTCACACCTTTTCTTTTGGCTATCATCCTTCTGAATGCTTTTACTCTCGTATGAAGTCGTTGAAGCCAGCTGCGATGATCTATGATATGAACGTGTTGCTCTTTGAACTTCTTGAGCTTGAACTTTTGAAGGTTGATGCTCTGGCGGTTGAGGCCCTGAAATCTTCTTATTGTTAATTATTCGCTTAAATCGAGATACATGTACTTGCCGGCCTTATTCCTCAGCAGACGACCAGTTGAAACGTCTATGGTCTCACGCCTTTTCTTTTTATTGTCATCGATCTGAAGGCTTTTAGTGTCGTAAAAAGACGCCTTCTTTGGCTGCGCTGTTTTTCGATTACATTGCTTTGGTGCTTGAGCTTCTAACGACTGCTGCAGTCGTTGAGGTTCTGAAACTTCCGCCGAGTATTCGTCTTTGGATTTGCATCTTTTTTCTTGTTTGTTAGAAGTCTTCTGCGTCAGATGCGATTTTCTGCGATATGATCGTTTTGGTGGTGGAGGCTCTACAGTTTCCGGTTTATACTTATTTGGGTAAACATAAATAGAAGAACCTACCGGCTTTATTCCCCGGTTGCTGATCAGCTGAATCGCCTTTGCATTCATACTTTTTCTTTTCGTTGTCATCGGTCCGAAGGCTCTTTGTGTTGGCCGAAGACGTCTTCGTAAGATGCGCAGCTTTACGACATGATCGTTTTGGAGGTGGAGGTTTTGGTGGCTGAACTCCTGACGATGGAATCTCTGGCGGTTGGTACTAAATCGAAAAAAGATAGAAATTACCACATACCGGCTTTATTCCCGGGTAGCTGGTCAGCTGAATCGTCTTTGGAGTCGCACTTTTTCTTTTGATTGTCATCGTTCTGAAGGCTTTTGGTGTTTATCGAAGACGTCTTTGTGAGTGGGCAAGTTTTGCGACATGATCGTTTTGGTGGAGGCGGTTCTAGTGGCTGGACATCTGACGATTGAAACTTCAGCGGCTTAGGTCCTGTAGTTTCCGGTTAGTACCATTTCCGACAAAGATAGATTCAAGTACTTACCGGCTTTATTGCTCGCCTGTTGATTAGCTAAATCGCCTTTGGATACGAATTTTTTCTCTTTTTGGTTGTTATCGTTCCCAAGGCTACGAGCTTCGTTCGAAGACTTCTTCGGTATTCTGCGGTATGATCTTTTTAGTGGTGGGGGCTGTACTGGCTGACCTTCTGAGGATTAAAGCTCCGGCGGTTGGTACTAATTCGGTCAAAGACAGACAAAACTACCTACCGGCTTTATTCCCTGCTAGCCGATCAGTTGAATCTTCTTTGACATCATTCTTAAGATTTCTAGTGTTATTTGATGACCTCGTAGGGTGCGCTGTTATTCGACATGATCGTTTAAGCGGTTGCGGATCAGATGGCAGAACTTTTGACGATTGAGGCTTCGGTGGTTGAGGCTCTAAAGTTTCCGGTTAATCTTATATGGGAAAAAAATAAATACATGTACTTACCAGCTTTATTCCTCGGCAGCTGATCGGCTGAATCGATTTTGGGCTCGCAACTTTTCTTATGGTTGTCATCGTTGTTCGAAGACGTCTTCGTAATTTGGGAAGTTCTGCGACATGATCGTTTTGGGGGTGGAGGCTCTAATGGCTGAACTGATTTTAACCCTGCAACCTTCTCCTTGTCAAGCAGTTGACCACTGGTGGATACAAGTACTTACCGGCCTTGCTCTCTGTCTTTCGGTTGCCATTGGGCAAAGAGTTGGTTGGAATAATCCTCTTTCGTTTACTCGATTCGCGACTACTGTTTAGTGACTTATTAGGGGATAATTGCTGCACTGATTGCGGTTTTCGGTTCATTTTGGTGTCTTATTGGCGATGGGCAATTTCTGATATCTTAATTAATGTTTGGCCAGCAACAATTTCAAGGCTTGCTGTGAGGGGTTTTGAGAAGCCAAAAAAGATTGATTGTATTATTTGACATCTTCGTATTTGGTAATAGTATCTTAAGTAAATATGTGAGCATCTCTTTGCCTGAAACTGTACACATTTGGGCCGCTTCCTTCTGAATGTGCTCCTGTGCTCACGACCGCAAGCAAGCGCCATGCACATTGTTGCACAGACTATTAAACCTGCTGACGAAGAAGATGAAAATGCGTTTTTAATGCAGCGCAAATGTGGCAACTGTTTGTGCATCGTTTGAAGCACATATAGATATTTGCACTTAGTTTACTGCACACATACCAAACTTTTATGCAAATTACTAGCCAAAAACTTTCAAAATTGTTGTTTCCGGACTTTAGTCTTGAGGTCTAAGTTTTCAATCCGAAAATATCTTTACTAATTTGGGACATTTTTCTAAATTCTGCTTGAGCTTTATAGAAAGCCCCTCGACAGCAAGAGCAGCCAGCTCAGTGGAAACAAATTGAATTAGTTGCAAGTCCACTAATGTGGCTGACAACAATAACGTGACTTGGGTGCACAATTTAGGCAAATAAAGTGGTAAATTAGCTCTGACCAGCTGTTGATTAGGTGACCAAATACCGGCGGTTGCTTGTTAGCTAATCGAACTGCATTGCTACAAGTGAGTGCAAGCACTGTAGCAATGATACAAAATAGATGCATAAATTCATTAACATATATAAGTGAATACACAATGTGTACATATATACAACAATGCATATTTACATGCCAAAATATATAAATTCTTTTATATAAACATGCATTCATACACGAATTCATAAATAAAACACACATACAAGCATACTTACTTACATACACACACATATTTAGTAGTTGTAGGGCATATGCAAATACATACTTAAATACATACTTAATACATTTATGTATATTTATTGATTTTTTAGAAGATACTTCTCCTCTCTCTCTGTCAACTAACTGAGTCACTCTCTTTCCCTCCCACTGACTAGTCTGTACTATAAAATAGCAGAGAAATGTATTTCTTTGATTCCGAGCGAGAAAGACTCACGTTCAACAAACATGTCAACTAACTGAGCTAACTACCATGACATATAAAATTTACCCCATTTGCATTCTGAAGACTTCAAAAAGGATATCATGTCATCGTTACAGAAATCGAATTCTTTTTACTCCGCAAATTGACAATGGAAGCGAACTCTGGCTACCAGAGTTTAATCAGGCTCTTTGGACGTACAGGACACGTACACGGATGCAGCGCAGTGAAACAAAACGGAATCCTTGCAATTTGTCGTCTAAACAATAAACCAAATACTCGTAGAAGCCAGCAAAAAGCAAATCAGCAAAAATCGAGCTACAGCAACGTGCAGATATTCAATCCAGACCGAGGCACTTCTGCGGTGAAGCCAAGTAGTAGACAAATGCGACCACCATGCGGAATGGGTAAGCACGATCTTGGGGCAAAGACGGGGGTAGCAAGGCATGGAGTGCCAGAGCAGTCAAAAGTGTGCGCCATTCTTTTGTGTTTTATATGTAACTAGTTCGCAAGATACTTCCCCTGGCGGCTCATTTCGATGCCTAAAGTAAAGGCTATAGCATATGTTTCTATATGTATAGTCCACTAGCCTGACGTTTACTCTTATTCTGGGGCGACATCTTAAAAGCAAATTGCAAATTTTATTTTCGTCATTTGCATCAAAAATGTAAGAAGGGAAAGAATTAATCAGATCAGGTTTGATTAAATTTCTGACATTTGACTTTGAATAACTAATGAAAAAAGAATTTTATTTGTGAACTTTTTATTTATAATATAAAGATATTTCATTATATATTTTTCTGGTGAACATTTTTAAATATATTTAAATAAAGAAAGTAATACTTAACATTAAAGAAATATATTTGTGGCTGGTTACACTTAAAGGAAATAACTGTTATTTATTACATTAGAGGCCTTCCTTAAATGCAATCACAGATATATTTCACTGATTTAATAAAATCTAAATAAATGCTAAGTTAAAAGCCAGCATAAAGTTGCAAAATAACACATAGGGTATACTAACTCTCGATAGAATGTGTTTTTTTTTTTTTTTATTTTTTTTTATGCTCTAGATATCCAAGATGATATATAAAGTGCAATATTTCAGTGACGGGCGAAGCGTAAATATAAACTTTAGCTGCACACTTTTTGGCGACTTCTCGAGGGCATCATAAGGCAAACTCAATGCAGCTCGTTTGATAAGCCACGACTAGTGCAATTTTATTGCACAGCCGCCATGTGGGCATAAAAAACACATCACTCCCATATATTCATGCATATGCTTCTTTACATATATATATATATATATATATATATAAACATATATATTATATATATTTATATAAGTGTAAATATATGTGTATGCCTTAAATATTCAGCTTCTGAAAATAACCGTTTATTTGAAGTCTACTGGCGAGGCGAGCCGGGTTAACGTTGTGTGCACTTTGGTTAAAATGCACTTAAGGGGAACGACAGAGTTTTTGGAGCTGCTCTTCAAAAAGTTTCAATATGGAAATCATCAACTTGAACGAAAGTATGTCAACATGCAATTAAAAACTGTCCGCCGGCAATCAAGTGTCGCTTCTGTTGAAATCTCTAACTTAATTAAAATTGAACAGTATAATGCCAGTCAAAGGACATATACATTGAATATTGGATCTTATTAGCTGGCAGGCAACTCCAATGCGAATTTACACTTTACTCGATTGCCGGCGTGGCAGACCAACAACAACCGGAAACATAGTGAACACCACAGACACACCAACGTAAATGTGGCTACGTGTCGGTTTCAATGAAATGAAAATATAAAATATGCATTTACTGCAGCCCGCCTCCAGTTACAGATAGTTGCCACCGGCTGCTGTTGGTGCTGCTGCTGCTGTTGCCCGGATAAGTATGCTATGGGCAACGTGCTCTGCGACGGGGAATTGTGTCGAATGTCATGTGCGCCCCCCATTCAAATGCCAGCTGCAAAGTCTGCTCAGTTACTGGCCAAAACTGTGATCCTTATATTTACCACCCAGACAACTAACGGGCGAAAGCTGCATTGTTCGGCAGTCGAGCAGCGTACTCCATAATAAATGTAACGAGCGTATTACAAACACTTATGTATGGCAACTTTAAAGTGCAGACATCACTCGTACAAGCATGAGCATAACTACTTGTGTATGTATATATATATATCTATATACCCTGCAGCTGTAGAGATAGATAAAGCTGTCAAATATGTATATCCAGCAGACAAAAAAATGAACCTCTCACCTGATACGAAATATACATGTGTTCACATTTTATATCTATGCGATCGTCTATCTGTTTATTCAAGTATATCAATTTCGGACTTCTATAAAGTGAGAAATGCTAAATAAACTTATACCAAAAGCAGATCAAGTTTATGTTTAACGCGCATGTAAGTATCAATGCCCTTCTAAGAATATACTATTAGTTTTAATATTTAAAATTCTTTTAATATTTTTTAATTTTGTAAGTTCTTAACGTAATATATTTCAAGATATATTTTGCTGTTGTATAAACTATGTACGAGCAGATAAATTCTACAATATTTTTGCTTGCAAATTCTCAACAGTTCTTTTTTAATTATTGCATTGCATTATTTAACAGAACGATAAGCATATATTGTAAATTCTGTCCAGAGGGCAACTTATAGTCGAGCATACCCAGTTTGAGGATTATAAGTTGCCTTAGTTGTTTTATAGCCAACTTGAGTACATTTGCCAACTGCCACATGCTCGTTCATAATTGCAGAATCAGTCGCAAAATAAAATGGACATCAAGGCAGCGACTAAATCAAATGTGAGCCAAGTGAAAACTTGGTACAACTTTTATGCAAGTATTGTGTGTGAAAAAGACGGAAACACAAGGGGAGAAAGGGAGAGAGAGAGGCAACGGGCCAGCGTGTGGCAGTGGCGCTTGCACTTGAAGTGCTAAAACTTTGCTTCGCTACGTTAGCAAAACTTTTGCCAGCTAGTTGTAGCATGAAAAGCAAAAGTTTGCCGTCAAAGCGAAAGTTAAAGCCGGCGCCTGCACCGACAATGCGAAACCGAATAAAAAACTGACAAAACAAAAAAAAAAAAATATATATATATATATATTAAAAGCGGAAAAAAATGAAATTTATTTGTCAGAATTAAGCTTGGCAGTTGATATGTGATTCAGCTCTAGAGGTAAAAAAATATTTTTTCTTTTAGCTGCTGGCAATTATAATACATTTTATATACATATTTTCAATAATTAGTTTTACTTTTAATTTTGGTTAAATGCACTGTTGACTGACGTCCTGTCAGTTGACTAATACACAAATGAACTGAGCGTTGGGCAGCGGCAAAATGCCGGAGCATACACATATCGAAATGGCACAAAACTTTCTCGTTTTCTCGCATTCTCGTATTCCCCAAGCAAGTTGCACGTAAAATTTTTGCACAATTGGCAATCGAAAATTGGAAAACTTTTTCCTATATTTGTTTTGGCTTCATTGAGTTGACTGTGCTAACTCACACACAAACAACACACACGCATTGCTTAGATATACACAACCATCCACATATATACACCCACACACACACTCGTTACGTTTGCTGCTATTAGCAAAGTTTGGTGTGCTCTGCTTTAGTAGCAAGTTCCCTCAAGTTAGCCAGCGAAAGCAAAAACTTTAACGCAGCTACAACAACAACAACAACAGCATGAAGCACAGCAGCAGCAACAACAACTATTACAACAACAAACGTGATGGCGTATCTATTGGCAAATGGGCGCGTTTATAATTGCAACTGGCAACTGGCAATTGGTAGCTCGCAATTTTCAATTTGTTTGCATTGCATTGGCAACTTTATGATCGAACCGCACCACTGACCCACTGACACTCACACACCACCGACCATGCCCAGCATTATTCTCTTTGGTCTAACTCTGG